ATCTAGCTCCCTGCTTGTGGCCTGGGAAAGCAGCACAAGGCCCAAAGCGTTGGGCCCTTGTAAACATATGAGAGACCCAAAAAGAAACTCCTGGTTCCTGCCTTCAGCTCTAGCCATTGTGGCCACCTGGGAGCAGGCCAGTGGCTGTTAGATCTTTCTTTGTCTCTCCTTCTCCGTAAAACTTGATTTCCCAGTAAAAATAAATAAATTAAAAAATATATATATATAGGTGAGCCTTGTGCAATGGCTTAGTTGGCTATATCACCCCCTTGCAAGTGCCAGGATCCATATGGGTGCCAGTTCATGTCCTGGCTGCTCTACTTCTCATCTAGCTTCCTGTTATAGCTTGGAAAGCAGAGGAGAATGGCCCAAAACCTTGGGATCCTGCACCTGCGTGGGAGACCGAGAAGAAGCTCCTGACTCCTGGCTTTGGACTGACTCAGCTCCAGCTGTTGTGGTCAGTTGGAGGAATTGGAGGGTGAATTCGCAGATGCAAGATCCTTCTGTGTATCTCTGCTTCTCTCTGTAAATCTGACCTTCCAATAAAAATAAATAAGTCATAAAAAAATAAAAGATTATACATGGTATTACCTTAATAACATGACTATAGTATTTTGGGTATTAGGCCTGCCAGCAGGCCCCGAGATCACTGAGGGTGAGGCAGATGGTGGCCTTCAGCTGCAAGAACCACTGGAGACAAGCTAATGAGGAATGTCCGCTGTATTGAGCACAGGTTAGAGGTTTTAAAGGAAGGGGAGGGCAGGAGGGAGCCTTCCAGCCGACTCCACGCCCACAAAAGATGCTGTAATTGACTGTATGACACATCTATCTCCCTAGATCTTGCAGTGATATCAGAGGTTATGGTCAGGTATACTTCCCTAGACCTTCTAGCCATGTTGGTGGTCACAAGGTCACACTCTATGTGTAGGCCTGAAGGCTGTGCCTAAGGCCATGGAGAAGGTTAGGCTTAAGCCACTCCCTCCAGCCAGCAGGGCAGGGGCCTGCATGATCGCCCAATAGTATTTACCATAAAGTGGTCATGTTTACATGGCTAAACAAGTTAATACTAAAAATTAGGGTCTAATAATAGTTCTATGTTTTCAACCACAAGCCCTATAGATAACTGGGAAATTAAGGATTAGTAGAATAAATAAGCCAGTGCTCACACGACACACTGAATTATTTTTGCAATCAGGAAGAAAGTCTCCAGAAAAGTATTTCAAGTAACAAATATATTTATTTCTGCATTTTCCAAAAGCAGTTGATAGATTTAGGTACTAGATGTGATGAAGGTGAGTATGTGACTGGTTGCCACCAAGGACTGAAGAGGCTATCCAAGCTTGTTTTTGGTAAAAGACAGAGGGCAAAGACCTGGCACTTCTAGGAGGAGAGCACTGAGTTACTACAGCAGGCATTACCTGAAAAATGCCAGGCAGGAGCACGTGGATTCTGACCCGGAAGCTTTAGAATCAGCAGGCCCACCCTCCCTGACAAGTAGGACAAGTTTTCTCAATTGTTTAAAAGGAAAAAGAAAATAATTTTAGGAAGCTGTTGTGGGAATTAAGTGAGAAGATATGTATGAAATGTCCACTAAGGACACCAAGCCACAACAGAGGGGCACCTGCCAGTATACAGTGTGGGTTGGATAGTATAGGAGGACATTGTGACCCTAGAGGGTCAGGGAGCACAGGATTAGTTGATTGGCTAATATTTGCATGAAAACAACTGAATGGCTACCTTTTGTATACCTGATTGGATATCATTTGTATAAGAACAGTTGAATGGACAGTATGTGTGTGAGAACACTTGGTGGAATAAACAAGACAAAAGGTGTTCCAAACAAAAGCATAGAAATTGTTGATGGGTTTTGTTGATGAACTCAATACTTCCTCCCTTATCCCATATGACCCTCAGTGTATAAAGTCTGGTTCTCCTAATAAACTTTGGCTTTGACCATCAGTCAGGGTCCACGCGTGTTATTATCGGCTCTGTGCACCAAGTCCATAGCTGCGGGACAGTGACAGATAGTAGGCTGGTTGGGTTGAACTAGGCTTCGGTGCCCATTGACATGTATGAGAGTTAAATTGGATGTGGGACAGACTGAACAAGCCTGTGGTACATACTGGCATGCATGGGAACCAGGGTAGGGGGCAGGCCTGGTGGGGGTTATGTGGAGTCGCCCCAACTAAGCTGCAGCTCCCACTGGTTTATGTGAGGACCGAGTATGAAGTGGGCAGGATCGAGCTGGACTACAACACCCGTTGGTTCATGAGGAAGACAGGGCTGGAAACAGAACTGACCCAGCAATTCCAACTACCAGCATGTGCATAAATTGATTGGGATTATGGACTGTGTTGGACCCTGTACTGGCAAACTCACACAAGATTCAGATCTGGGAACATCTCAGATGAAGTTTCTTTGGTGATCCCTCCAACTGAACTTCTGATCTCAGAACCCCAATCATGAAGAAAATATATCAGCCAGTGTACTCTGAATAGGTTTCATTACGATTGGAATGGCGAGATTAGCAGCAATTCAGAATTGTTGAACTATCAAGGCTGCTTGAGCAGGACCCTTGGAGCATGCCTCACACTGGGGACCTGGGATAGGTGGGAGGCTGGGTGGGGCTTTTCCCTGTTTCTCCCCTGACCCCAGATACAGGGGAAAAATGATATTAGTGTGGAAACAATGGTATTACCCACTTTCACCCTGTAGCCCTTGACCGTTTGTACCCTAATCAACTAAGTAAGATTATTAAAAAAAAAAAAAAAAAAAAGATACCAAGCTATAGTAGATTGTTCAACGTGAGCCAGATCCGAATAGTGGGAATTCTACTGGAAGGAAAGGTTTGCTCAGATGTTGTCAGCGCTCACAGCTTCCAGAAATCTGCTTTAGCACCTGAAATGAGTTCAATGGATCTCCTGAAATAAATCCTAACCAACTCTATTCATTAATATTACAAATTTAATGGGATTTCTTTCTTGGCTGGGCTGTAATCCTCCAGATTTTGCTCAACTGATAGTAAATACCATGGACTGTAGCCATGTACAACTCTAACTTGACAAAGAGAAACGCATTGAAATGCTAAGATTATGCAGCAAAGCTTTCAGCTCCACCACAGACATCATGCAAACAAGTTCCTGAAGTCAAAAAAGGGGTTGCACAGAAAAGGTGCAAACGACTTCATGCAATCAGACACATCTTAATTTCTCAAAAATCCTAAGCACACCTACAAAGTCACGTCATGTAGATGGGAAAACAAGTTGTCAACAAACCCGTTTTTCAAGCCCACTAGAGGTCTGGATTAAGGGAAGCAGCTTCCTTGTTACGATTCATATGCTTATCACTCACTAGATGTCAAGAAAACATTGTAAATATAATTTCACAACTGAGGCTTCCAAGATGATAACATCAGTTAACTCTATTTCAGTTATTTTGTTTTTGTTTTTTTTTTCCCATGAATGAAGGAAGGGAAAATATCCACAAAGGAAAATACAGGATAAAGATGAGAATCCATAGGCACATAACAAATATCTGACATATTCATTACCTGATCTCACTTTAGAGCTCTGACTGTTTTGAAATATAGCTGAAAAAATAGTTTAAGTATTTTAGAATATACTTCCAATGAAAGAAACGATTCCATTAATTGATTGGAGGCACGGATATTACAAACTCATTCCCACCAAGTTAGGCAAACAAGTTTGAGTCCAGACCCAACTCATCCTCCTCTATTCCTCTTCTCTTGCTTCGCAAAGTCTCTGCTCCTGCAGTAAGAGCTCAACTGGAGAATGGATGCAAACAGACAGCACCTTTCTCCACGCTCCCTTCACACTGATCAACTTTGAACCTATTTATCTTAATGCATTGCTCATTAAAGAAAAATAAATGCATGACATCTACTGGAATACATCAAAAGTCTCATACAGGCAAGCAGCACGTGGGAGATTCTGAAATCATTCAAGTTGAGCAAAAAGAGGCACATTTTTCAAATCTGTGACACAGGAAGCAAACAGTAACACTTAAGATCCAAACTTTAAGGAAACTAAATGAATTTTTTTAAAATATGAAACACCTGGCTATAATGTTTTTCCAATGTGATTCTTAATAAACAATTTTGCTTAAAAAACAAAACTCTAAAGCTGTTGCTAAAATCTATTTCCAGGCTTACAATAGCCTTTCTTCACTGGCAGACTATAACATAATCAGGATTATTTCCAGAAAGGGGATCAGTTAGATACCCGGGGAAAGAAGGGGTATATTTACACCCCTCAGTAACTCTGCTGTTATTTGCACTGTGAAAAATCAACAGCTATATTATGCCTTTCTGAACAGTCAATAGGTTGTATTTACACTGCTTTGAGAAGAGACAAAAGACATCTCCACAACTGTCTCATAGCAATCTCAGTTTGGTGGGTAATATGTAACAGTAATTTTTACATATAACATGGAATCAACCATACATTTACATATACAATAACAAGCACACAAAATCAAGTGACGGGTAAAGTCTCCTCAAGTGCAAATTTACAAACAGACCACAAGACACCCAACTTGGACCTATCATGGAGAAAAATCATTCACAGCCTGAGGGAGGACAAAAAATAAAGATATCAATCCAACAGAAAACAGAAAAATAATAATCACCGGAAAAGCTGTGTCTCGGCAGAGATTTCATCCACCAGAAGATGCAGAAACGTTTTTGGCCCCGGAGCACACGAAAATGGGTCTCCTGTACCCTCCCGGTTTTCTACCCAGGTGCCGGTGTAGACGGCCGGTGTGCACCTTTTTTTTCCCCCCCGAGATGAGAAGTCAAAATTTGTACTTTACCGGGAGCGGGTGCACTTTCCCCCCGGCCCCCCTTTGCTCTGCCTCCAAGATGGTAGGAAAGTTGTCGTTTCGGAGGGCAGAGGAGCAGCTCACTGGTGTTATGTCCTCGCAGTGCCTGTAGTGGTGCTATAGGAGGCTGCTGCCTCTTCTGGTGCAGCCCCGGCAGCCCTGCCTTCTTGGCTGGAGAGTATATTCAGGGATTTCCCCTTAATAATCACCGACCCCGGGAGCACTTTTGAGTTTCCAAAATAAAAATATGATCCTCACCCTTCTTGCTTGACAGGGAAAGGCTCTCTCCGGAGCCCAGGGGGAAGCAGTAGCAGCGGCAGCCGAGCTTCCTAGTCCATTGCCAGCGCCTCTCACTCTGATCTGTCAGCCCAGCCGAGGGAAAAGGGGGGAAGGAGGAAAAAAAAAAAAAAAAGCAGCTGAAAGGTAAGCAGAGGCGGCCCCAGGCCCGGCCCACATCCCCGGGCTCCCGTAGGGCGGCGGGCTGGGCCGCGCAGGCAGGGCGGGCGGCGAGCGCGCTTACGTGAGGACGGGGATTCGCCGGCCCACGCCAGGCCCCGGGCGGAGAATGAAAGGGTGAGTGGGGCCGGCGATGGGGTGGCCGGGGCCTGGGGTCCGAGGGTCTCGGGGGCGCCTGCCGGCGGCGCCGGCTGACGGGCCGCGGGGATCCAGCCGGGGCCGGAGTGGGGCGAGCGGCGCGGCCTGTGCGGGGCAGAGTGGGGGTGTGCTATGGCAGGGAGAGGGGGTGCCGGCTAGGCCTCAGGCCGGCGGACCCCACCCTGTCCCCGCACCCCAAGCCTCCGGGAGCCCCCGTGGGTCCCCCGGAGCCCCGGGGCCGGACGGTGGCTCTGCGGGGTCGAATTTTGCGCCGGCCGGGAGGCTTTCGCGCGGGGCGGCAGGCCCGGGCTGCTGGGACAGGGGCGTCAGGGCCTAAGAGTGGGGAATGGGCGCACGTTCTCTGAGCCCCCTAAGGGTCTCTCGCAAACGCTTCCCCACTCCCCAGATTCGGTAATAGTTGAATTTATTTATCCCCCTCCTCGCGCTCCAGGCGGCCTGGCCGGGGCGGGGCGGGCGGCCTGGCGGGCGTGGGGTGGGGTGGAGGGGCGGTGTGGAGTCAGGTGCAGCCGCGGCCCAGAAAGTTTCATTTTAGGCCCGAATTGGGAGCCGCCCTCTCTAGGGGAGCCCTGGTCCTCGCGCCGGGGACCCCCGAGGGAGCGGGGCGGGGGAGGGGGCGAGCGCTCGGCTATTTGGAAACTCCGTGCCAGTTCCTGTCCATGGAAGGTACCCCGCCCCTGCGCCCCGCGCCCCACCCCACTCCCCGCGAACCCTCTCGGGGCTGCAAACTCCAGCCCACGTCCCCGGAGCCCCTCGGGTTGGAGAGAGGGCCTTCTCTTCCGGTTCGGAAAAGTTTTCAAGGGATTTTCCCCCCCTTTAGCTTGATTAGTTAGTGATTGGGCTTTTGGGGGTAGGAAGAGCGGAGGTAAATCCAGGTAGTTTCTACGGGAAGATCTTTACCCCAAGCCGCCGTTTTTAGCGGGTGCCCCACAAATCGGGGGGTGTTAATTTCTGATTTATTGTCCCCTCCCCCTCTCCCCCTCCCGTCCTTGCACGCTGGCCTTCTTTGGGTCCCAAATCCTCCTGTTTCTGGGCGGCCCCGGTAGAGAGGAAGATGTAGGGGGCAGCAAGGAGACTGTCAGTGAAGAGGGGCCGGACCGAGCAGGATTTCTGGAGCGGCCCCCAGATATAGGAGTGGCCCCTCCTGGGTGGTCGTGGTCTTGGAAAATCAGCCCAGGAGTGGAAGCCCACAGGAGACCCTGCTTGTCAAAAAGCTGGGCAGCTTTGAGCTCGGCGGGAGGAAAGGAGGGCCAGGGGAGATGAGGTGGGCAGGGCAGCTCCTCTGACCACCTCCGCAGCTCCAGGATCAGGACTTTATTCTGATAGTAACTGCTTAGATTTGTGTGCTGTCCTGAACCTCGACCCTGGAAATGGAAACGTGAGAATTTTAAGGAAATTTCGACATGTTCTTGCTACAACTCAGAAGGGCCTGTGCAAGAACCCTTAGGGCACCTGAATTTAGCTACTTTGGGGGGGGGGGGTTAGTTTTCTATTTAAATGTATTCGATTTTACTTATATTTCGGTGCCTTGAGCCCTTGAAAAGTTTTAGCAGAAATGTAATTTGAACTGCCGAATCCAGATGTCCTGCTATGCAGCAATAGGATGTTCCCTGTGGTTCCTCTGGCTCCCCTTCTACCTGATCTTTAGTGTGGGAGTTGAAATGTTAATGTCCCCTAGCCACCCTCAGGGTGAGGGGTGGGTGGCAGGGGTAACCTTGGCTGTTTGGCCCTCTGGATTTTTAGTGAGCCCCGGGCTTGTATTTTGCATGTGTGGTGTGAATGTGTGTGTGTACACACTTTTGCTGCTTGGTAGCAGGCTACGGGGGCTCCACAGCCGGACCCCTTGGCTCCTCACTGATCTACAAAGAAAAGCTGCCACTTGCAAAGCAATGGGCAACCCTTGGCTTGGCCAGTGCCAACTTCTGTCTGGCATCTAAGTGACGCTGCTGATGTGGTGTCTAAGTGTGTCTGACTTTTCCTCTTGTGTATTTGGAATAAAACCCTGTTTCTTAACAATAATAGCCATGCTTAGGAAGTCTTGATATTTGAGACTGCATGGATTGCATATAAAATGCAAATTACATTTCATGGTTGTTTTAACTTTATTGATTAATTGAAATTGCTTATTGACGTGCACATTTTCATATGACTATGTACCAAAAATCATTTGTTCTATTATAGTTTGTTCTTATTTTTAGAACATATTGACTGGAGAAAAAAAATGATCCTTTGACTTTCTTTTCTTAGAATATTTTAAGGTTTGAAAAAAAAGTTTTATTGCATCATAATTTGCTATTTTGTGGTTATATTGTCAACGGTGCATTCTTTTGTTTTCTGAAACTGTATTTGTGTAATACAAGTTCTGTGCTTTTTCATATCCCCATTCCAGTTATAAATTAATTTCTTGGTTTGATTGTCACATGGACCATTTTATTACTGAAGGAATAGAAAATTTGATGTTTTAAAACTTACATTCCATTTGAAACAAGTAGAAGACTTTCAGGGAAAGTATCGAATTAATTTTAATTTGAAGCATACTTTTCTTACTGTTAAAAAATTTAGTTTAAAAATACATGTTATTATATCATTGAAAGATTGTATAAGGAAATTTGTATAACCCATCCATTCTTAGCAGATAATGTTCTTACTATTTTTAGAGAAATGAACATTTTAATTTAGGTGGTTTTAAAAATTTTGAAATATTCAATATTAAAAAAATGTCATTTCAAACAAACATTGATCCCCTCTTTGTTAGCTGTGCTGGTCCCTGAGGTTCGCTGTGTCCAGATTTGGAATAGCACTGTTAGCTTAGGAAAGATCACTTGTAGCTGAGTACAGTTGGAGAGCAGTGTTCTTAGACATGCGACACACACACACACACACACACACACCTGGTCACTTGTAAAACAGTTGGTGAATAGGTGAGACCGAGTTGCAGGCTATAAATTGTTACCAAAGCAGATGTCCCACCTGTATGTGCTATGCAGTTACATCTAAGTCCATTTAATATATCCGGATGCCCCATTGTGCTTGTCAAAACAGGCTCCTTTCCACTGTTTTCTCGGGGCACTGGCTGTCACAGGGCTATTCTGAGACACTTGGAGAGATAGTTTAAAAGATGAGGCGACACTCTCCTTTCCCTCTTCGTACTGAAGCCAGATGACTTCTTGATCCTGAATCTCTCAGACAAGGTCAGTGTTTGGTCAGATTTTATTTGTAGTCTAGCTCCCTGCTGGCTGATATTGGCCTGGGCCCTGTGTTCTTGTCCCTTTTCTTTCACTGGGCTGGTTCCTTCATCTTTGGTTTTTATCTGGAAATTGGGGGAAAAAATTGGAAAATCGAAAGCCAGGAGCCTCCTCCTGGTCTCCCATGTGCAGGGTACCAAGGTCTTGGGCCTTCCTTTACTGCTTTCCCAGGCCAACTGCAGGAAGCCGGATGGAAAGTACAGCATTCGGGATCACAGTGTTTGTAAGGCAAGGATTTAGACACTAAGCTATCTTGCTGGGTACTTTTTTTTTTTAAGATTTATTTTCTTGAAAGTCAGAATTAGAGAGGGGAAGAGATAAAGAAATCTTCCATCCACTGGCTGCAAGGCTGGAACTGAGCCCATTTGAAGGGAGGAAGTCAAGAGCCAGGATCTTCCCCTGGGCCTGCAGTGTGGTCTCAGGGGCCTAAGGACTTCAGCCATCCTTTTCTGCTTTCCCAGGCCCTAAGCAAGAAGCCAGATCAGAGGTTGGTCAGCCAGGACATGAACTGGTGTCCTTATGGGATGCCAGTACCAGAAGGCTGACAAGTATCCCATTGAGCCACTGTGTCAGTCCCCATAATGCCATTTTCTAACTAACTCATGCTCCTACCCTATTTTATGAGTAGGCTTACTCCTTCCACTCAGATGATAACTACTGGTAACATCTTTAAAAGATTTATTTATTTTTATTTGAAAGGCAGATTTACAGAGAGGAGAGAGAGAAATCTTCCATCTGTTGAGTACAGATAGGATGCTATAATTACTTTCATGGCTCACATCAACATTTCTGTGCAAATGAAAGACTGTAGTGTATTTGTAGACAGTTTCTGCAGCAGGAAGTTAGTTGTTGGATTCTATGAGTTAGTGAATGTAGAGGTGTGCCAAATATCCCAGCAAGGGAATCCAGAGGTGGCTTTACTTTTTGAGTGTTTAAAGTTTACCTCTAGGGTCTCATGCACTCTGACTAGTTTGGGGCTTTTGGTAAATTCACTTTGGAATGATGGAATTGAAGGTAGGAGTTGCTTAGGCCAAAGGTCAGGGTTGGTTCATTCATTTAACAGATTAACTTCTTTGTGTTAGGTCTGCCCTTGAGGAGCTTTTAGTGTATAGAAGAGAAATTAACTGATATCTGCAGAGTTGAATGAGGCCCTGGGGCAGGCTGTGGAGGGAGAGCTTCCTGGAGGCACTGCTGTCCTAAGTGAAAGGGAGGAGTTAGGCATTCCTGGAGGTGGGACCTGCTAGTATGAATAAATGCCTAGGGACAAAAGGCTGTTCTGTGTTGCAAATTGTGGTTCTGAGTGTAGGGCCCAGGAGCTGGGGGAGCTTGGGAATAGGGAGAGGAGAGGCCAGCCTGGCCAGGTCAAAAGGAGTTTGAGATAGGCAGGAGAATTTGGCCAAGTAAATTATTTGCAACAGGAGTGCAGTAAGAACTGTACCCCTGAGGCAGCTAGCTGCTGAGAAGAGATGGGAAGGAGTTTGCACTAAGGTGATGGTCCAGGAGGCTGCAGGGGCTGGTGGAGGTGGTAAGCCATGGGGTCCTGGCTGAAGCCGGCATGTGTTATTC